CACCGAGATAGCGTGGATTGAACCCAGTAGGTGTGAATTCACCTGTAGCCTCCTCACCCCTCCCACCTGCTTGACTTCTGCTGATCATTACTACCATATGTGCATATCAGTGTTGACAGATTAGTTCCGATGTAACAGTGAGTGCATGTGGTGTTTGTTTCTCCATTCTTGTGATACTTTGCTGAGAAGAATGGCCTCCCGTTCCATCCAGGTTGTTACAAAGGGTATTAGTTCACCATTATTTTATGGCTGCGTAGTGGACATATACATTTCATGGTGTACATATACATTTTATTAATCCACTCATGTATCAGATTGAATAATGTACTGAAAGTTAAAAAAAAAAAAAGAATCAGAATCTGTATGAGAACTCAGAGTATGATTTCTTCTCTACATGTATCACTGTCAAAAAATCATAAATTGAACTACTGTAAGTCAGGGACCATCTGTATAGATAGTTGGGCAGAAAGAACAGATTTTTTTCAAGCAAAGGACAGTATATCCTAGACATGGGCAAGTTTGGTATTTTCTGAGTGCAGGTTCTGCCTAGAAGAAAGAAAATAAATTGTGTCAACTTCAAGAGGAAGGATTATTGAGCTCAAGTACTGCAAAGTAAAATAATTGAGTAATTATTCAGTGAAATCGATAGTAACACTTTAAGGTAAATGCATATTAAATAGAATCTGCCAATTGTGTTCAGATTGGTGGAGGTTCCTCCTTTTTAAGGGAAAAGGAGTTAATCTCAGAGGAGTAACTGGATATTATAAAGTTAGTCAAAAAGGGAGATTTAGAGGACATCTGGGGCTCAGTGCACCTGAGCTGGCAGAAGGACATCACCGTCCTGCTATTTCCCATCAGGAGGGAGTGGCTGCCTAGAGCAGTCCCTCAGGAAGGATGCTAAGGCTTTGTCTGAACTCTGTGGGAAAGCATGTCATGATGAAATATTGATGGTAGCCTTGGGCACTGGATGGCAGAGGAGCCGCTCAAGCCTTTTCTTTCCCCATACTGCTCACACCTGCCCTAGCTCTCTCCCGAGTCCTGAGCATAGAAAAGTGAAGCTCAGAATAATGGCCCTCAGGGCTTTCACAGTCAGCTTCACAAGATTAGATTCAATAAAGCAAAGAAGCCCTCACAGCATCACCACATGTGCTAAAACAAAAAGGCTTTCAGCTTTAGCTATTAGCAAAGCAAACCACTTTCATTAGAACTCCTAGTAGTCCAGGAAAAGTACAAGCTTGACATTTACATGGATGACTATCTGAAGACATGAGGAAGGATAATTCCTGACCTTGGATAGCTCACAGTCTACTGGGAGAAAAGCAGTTCAAAAACAAATAACAGAATGAACAGTACTTTATAACATTTTCCAAAGGGTTCTGTTCTCTTACTTTGCTTAGGCTAATTTGAAAGCATAGAAAGTAAACACTAAACTCATTAACTTATCTCCAGACATAATCCACATGCAAACATGTTTTCTAAAGAGTCCTGAAGCAGGAGAGGACTAATCAGAATGATGCCCAGCAATTATAGTCATTCCAATCCCTAATCACTTTTCAATGAGAGGTTGGTCCTCCCTTACTCTCCTACCAGGGAGATAAAGGAGAGAGTGAAATCGAAACACCCTCAGATACAAGAAGAATAAAATCAAGTAACTCACTGCCCATGTGTAAATTTCTTAGTCATACACTTACCATGAGAGAAGCAACTAGGTATGTATGTGTAAATAGAGGAGAGACTAGTTTAAGAGAGAAAATGTTTCTGAATATGTACCGTTCCGACTTTACAATCACGGAGGCACAATGCCCAGATCCAAAAAAAACCCTACAATGTGGACAGGTGTGTTTTCTGATTCGGGTAATCAATGCTGCTCTGTAGAACTGGGGGTGTGCAACAGGACATGAGAGAGGCAGGGGATGAGGGCAGGTGGACAGTCAGATAAGTAGCTGATCCTATTGCACAAGCAGCAATCATGCAGCTGCTCTCCCCAGTGGCCCAGAGCTGGCTGTGATTGGGTATTGGGTAGCATGAGAAAACTAGTCACAGCTGCCTCTTGGCATTCTCAAGTCAAATAGTGACTTGGGCATCTGGGCCTCTGGCTAAGACTGGCAAGAAGGGCCTGCTGCAGGAAATGCTTGCCTATGCAGAAGGCAGAGAAGGGCCCTGCTGGCACTGCCTGGAGCAAAGTCCTCAAAGAATCCCCTGGTATTCTGTCAGAAATAAATGAAACATCACATGCTTTAGAGCTGGAAAAGTGTCCTGCCCTTGAAAAAGCAGAGAAAAGGTAAGATTTCTGGGGAGGAAAAGCCCTCCCTAACTGGTACCATGACTAATGAAAAAAAAAAATGCAATACTGCCATTTGCTATTACATACTACATGCCAAGAGTTTTACTAGAAACTTTACATGTGTTATGGCTCATGTTTACATGAAGGATTAATCCCACTTTGTCCATGAAGACCTGGAAGGTGAGAGAAGTTAAGTCACTTAGATAACTCACAGAGTCAAGGACTGACTCAGACTCAGGGTGTAAATCCAACATAAACGACACCAGATATTTCCCACCCTTGCTGAGGCTAAACAGGGCATGCTGAAAAAAATCTTCCAGGGATAGAAAAAAGAAATTCATAACAGTTCTGCTGGAAAATATTTCAGGATACATTCTTGTTAAAGACAGTATATATTCTGCTATTGCTAGGTAGAATGTTCCTTAGATGTCAGTTAGGTATAGTCAGATTATAATGTTTTATGAGTTCTGTCATAGTCTGTCTTGTGCTGCTATAACAAATTATCTGAGACTGAGTAATTAAAAAAAAAAAACAGAAATCTACTTCTCACAGTTCTAGAAACTGAGAAATCTAAGATCAACAAACTAGGAGGTTTGTTGTCTGGTGAGGATCCAGTCTCTGTTTCTAAGGTTAGACCTTCAATGCGGCATCCTCTGAAGGTGAAGAGCCCGCATGACTGAATCACTTCATATCGGCTATTAAGAATCTGCACTTGACTTTGGCCATTAAGAATCTGCACTTGAATTTGGTGGTGGGGACACATTCAAACCACCGCATTCATTTTCTTATTCATCTACTTAGGTGTTCTACCAATTATTGAAAATGGCCTATTGGAGTCTTCAACTATTATTGTTAAAATATCTATTTCTCTTCTCAATTATGTTGGTTTTTGTTTCATGAAGTTTGGAAATTTGTTAGGTGTATATATGTTAATAATTGTCATATCTTCCTGATAGAGTTTAGCTTTTATCATTAGAAAATGTTTCTCTCTATCTCTGGTAACATTTTTTTTAAAAATGATTTTGTTTGATATGAATATTGCCACTCTAGCTTTCGTATAATTAATATTTACGAGGTCTAACAATTAAGTTCATGACTTATCCTAGAAAATGTGCTTTATACCACCTCATTGCTAAATATCACTACAATCACCTTTGAAGCACTCCCCCTGGGAAGCTGTCTACCTATGCCAGTGCCTAATTCATTTTTCAAAGCAATTTCGGAACTCTTTTTCTGGATAGCCATCAAAGCTGTCATCATATTACCCTTGATGTCTTAAATGTCATCAAAATGTCTTTCTTTCAATACTTCCTTTATCTTTGGATAAAGAAAAAAAAAGTCATTGGGGGCCATATCAGGTAAGTAGGGAGGGTGTTCCTATACAGTTATTTATTTCCTGACTAAAAACTCCCTCACAGGATCATGTGAGCTTGCCCACTGTCATGATGCAAGAGCTATGATTTTTTAGCCAAGATTTTTCACTTAAGATTTTCCTGATTGAGTCCTTCAATGCAGAGCTTGCAGATCCCAAGAGCCAACTGTAATGACTATGGCTGTTATCAAAAGGCTCTGAGCTGTTTTTGAGTCCACCAGTCCTTACCTCCATAAAGATGTCTGTTAATTGACTTCAAAATTAAGCCTAAATCCACCCAGGGCTTGGCATGTCTACTACTTTGACTCTGGTGCATGCCACCCATATTTCTACAATTGTCCTTGCTCTACTCTTGATCCCTTCGGCCCCCTACCAAGCAGCCACAGGGATCTTGTTTTTCAAATTACTAAATCAGAGTATGACACTTTAAACAAAACCCACCTCACTCCCTGTGATTTCTAAGATGTGGTCCCTGCCTGTCTGTCCAACTATGTCTTGATCTCTCACCTTCTTTCTCTTCCTAAAACAGACCATTCCTGCTCCCAACTCAGGACCTGTACTTGCGGTTTCCTCTGCCTGGATGTAGTCACAGCTGTCCCATTTTCATTACTGAGGCATCAGTTCAAACATCACTTTCTCTAAGAAGGCTTTTACAACCACCCTTTCCAATGTTGCCTCAATAAATTGTGTTGCTTTCTTCACAACACTTGAAATGATCGTTTTTAGTGGTTTATGCCGGGTAGCTCCCATGAGTGAGACTCTTTGTCTATTTTGTTCATTTTAATATTCTCAGGGCCTAAAGAGGGTCCAAGTACATACTTATGGATGTTACAAATATTTACTAAGTAAAAAAACTAAATAAATAAAAAGAAAATAAAACTTAAAAAAGGATTGTAAATTAAGAAGCAGCTCTGGTTATACTTATGCTCAATATTAAAGAAAAAGAGCATATTTAAACATCTTTAAATGTAAATTAAATTCACAAGGGTGATCAAATGGTAATTTACAATGACATTCATACCTGTATAAAAATTCTTAAATAAAATTGCATTAGAGGAAACATGAACCTAAGCAGCAAGTGTTGGGGGTCATTCCAAAGGACTCCCCTCCCAGAGTGTATTAGAATATAGCAGAGAGTTCTCAAAAACTAATAGAACACTTTATAAATCAGGATTGTCCAACTCAAACCCCAGACCTTTTAAGACTCCATTCTAAGTATCTGCTGATTAGGTTGGATAGAAGAACCCTACATCCACACTGTCTACAGTAGCTTACTACCAAATGTATCAAAGGATTAATGGGGGATCCTAGGAAATTGTAAACATCTGGTCATCCTACACTTACCCTCAAACTTTCCAATCTTTTGCTACAGCCGTCAGGATGCTGTTAGTATCTGGTGAGTGACTGCCATGCATTTGTTAAAGTGAATAATAATAACTTAAAACCCTAAGAAGGGTTTTACATTTTAATACAGGATTCTTAGAAGTGTAGCATATTATCTCAAGAAAATTAATTTCTAGAGTAGGATTTGGGGGCAACAATGCATTGCTCTGTCAGTCCAAAATCAGATTAGTGGTAATTCTGGGCAACCACAAGGGCCTCCTGCTCTGCTTGTTTCCTGCAGCTGAATTCCTCATTCACTGTCTCATAGCAACCACTAATTCCATAGGTCATCTCCAGCAGACATAGCACTAGTGAGGTGCAGCATTGCTGATTCCAAGGCTAGGAAGCTCCGTTTGCCAGGCATAAACCATCCACAAAGCAGAGCACTGAATTGTGCTGATCATACAGCAGAAACAGAACCACTTAGCATGCAGATTAGGTCCATCTGCTTTGTCATCTGCAGCAAGGCAAAGCACCAGAACTCTTCTCTCTTTTACTCTCTCCCAATGCCTAGAAGACATTTAATTAACAGTCAGTCTAGAAACTAAATGTTTACAAGATTAATACACCATCACCGGCATATCTGTTAATTTTAGCTTGCAAATTACCAGGGAAAGATGAACTATACTCCTATAATTTTGAGATCAATATCAGGAAGTCAGTGATCAGCTCACACTAGTCATTCTTGTCACCCCATTCAATGCCATAATGCTGGAATGGCAGGACCATGGGGTGACCAGAATGAGCTGGCCACTCTGAAGGTGCATTCATTTCATGAAGAGGAATAAAGTGGCTGGAAATAATGAAGGTAGTGAAGGGCAGACTACTCAAGAAAGCAGAAGGTAGTAAATAATAATAATCAGCTACATTTGGTTGAATCTAGTTTTCATGAGCCATATATATACATATTTATACATGTTTACACTCAGTACATACAGTATATATATACACAGACATACACAGATATATTTATATTTATAAAGTGAACAATAATTTGTTAGGCAGGTGAAAGGCAAGTTACAGAAGGCTAGAGCTTCTAAAAGGCAGGAGAAAGTGCTCCAAGAGTTTCAGATGAATTTACACACCATAAGGTAGTACTGCATTTTTAGCACCTCTCTCAAGAGGAAAGAGAAAAATAACATTTTGTAGCTCTACATCAAGGGAGTTTAGGAAGGATCGAATTACAATAAATGAATTTACATGAGAAATCGTTTTTATCAAACATGAATGCTTAAGATGAAAGAATAAGACATTATGCACCCAAAGAAAGCTAAGCTTCTTTAAAATAATCTTGTTAGCTGTGAATTTTAGAATCTGATAATTTATGAATGTCATCCAGCCCCTGGCCTGTCACCTGTATCTTCTACTCCACGCCAATCTATTCAAAAGAAAGAACTGCTGATTCCCAGATGCGTCTGCATTTACATTTCATCTACTCTCTCATCCTAAGTCCAGCAGCATGAGCAGGAAAAAAAAAAACTGTCACCCTGAAATACACTGCCAGGGCCCATGAGAGCTCTATAGGAATAAGAGGGCTTCAAGGGGCTACCACTCATGTTCTGCCCCATAGACTAACACAGAGCCTGAGATGGCATCCTTCTTTTAATTCTAACACTGTGTCTAGAAAGTCACCAATAACACAAACAAATACCCTCTGAACAGTCATATATTAAACCAGTGGTCCCAGCAAAAGTGAAACATTGATGATTTCCTAAATAGCAACATGAAAAAGAATATGACAAGGAAAAGGTAAGTTTTATTTATTTTTTTCTATTTTTATTTTTTGAGACAGTCTCACTCTGCAGCCCCCAGGTAGAGTGCTATGGTGTCATAGCTCACAGCATCTCAAACTCCTAGGCTCAAATGATAGTCTTGCCTCAGCCTCCCTGGCACAACACTCACCTAGTTTTTCTATTTTTAATAGAGATGGGGTCTTGCTCTTGCTCAGGCTGGTCTTTAACTCTTGAGCTCAGGCAATCCACCTGCCCTGGCCTCCCAGAGTGCTAGGATTACAGGCGTGAGCTGAAAAGGTAAATTCTAATTATGGGAGATAATATTGGGGAAAAGTCTTAAAATATGGTTCTCAAATTTGATTGACCATCACAGACATCTGTAGGACTTGTTCAAAATACAGAATCCTGTAGTCGACCCCCATAAAGTTCTGATTCATTAGCTCTGGAATTGGTATGAGAAATCTGTATTTGTACCTGCTGCCCCAGGGGATTCCAAAGATCTGCATGATTTAGAAACCACTGCAAGTCAGTCCTGGAAGGGTCTCAGCAAGGGTGAGCAATAGACAGCCACTGGCCAGCACCTGGACAATGGGCACCCCAGGAATACCAATTACGCCCCCCTCCCTTACAGAGGGATAGGAGAATAAACACAAAGAACTAACAGTGAGATGGGGCTGGAAGCATAAACCTCAGAAAGGGAAGTCTGAAGTGCAGAGTGAAGCCTATTCGCCATCTTCCTCAGCACAATACAGACTTCCAGAGCTTGAAGGACAGGCAAGCGCTGTCTTTTCAATGCTTTACCCTCACTGCCTAGGTAATGGGGTCCAATCGAAGTTAGCTTTTCACCAACCCCACCAATGGAATAAATAGTGCTTCTTCCTGGGGGAAAAACTGAGTGAAAATGTTACTAGAGAAAGCAGAAACCCCATTCTGTGGGGAGGAAAGTGGACATTTCCTTCTGGGGGAACACAAAGATTACAAATATAGATTTCTTACCAACAAAGACCAACAGGGTTTACCTCTCGGATGAGTCCTGTGATCATATGGGTCCAACATTCTGATTCCCATGGGCACAACCAGAGGAAGAAAGTAGTGGGTAAGCTGGCTTTGTTCTTGGCCACATCTACAGTATGTTAAGGATATACACACCAAACACAAAACAAAAGTAAAAGCGGCAAAAACAAGTGAAGTCAGAATATGTATCAGGCATCTTTCAGCCAGGAGTTGCAGATAAAGGATTTATCCCAAATGGATATTAATCTCCTTCCCGCACCCCATTGAGTAAGACCCAGTCTGGCCCATGTGGGGGCATTTGGTCCCCACACAGGATAACCTCAATTCCTGTGGCAGAGTATCAGGTCAGCACCTTCCTCTTCTGTGTGCCTGTGTTTTAACAGCAGTATTTTATGATTCAGGTCAATGCATTGGAGGTAAAGACAAAGCAAAAATAATGCAGCACCAAATACCCAACCTCGAGGCACACAAATGTAAGCTCTGACTAGCCTGTGAATAAATGTGGGAATGTTAGCCTGGGGAGAAGGAGAAGGCTGAGAAATGTTCACCCAGAGCAAAGCTGGGGCAGGCTCTGATAAGGCTTAAGTGCTTGGAAAGGACTTTTGAAGACGCACTAATGTCTCTCCTGTTATTGTTCTCCCTGTCCTAGTAATTTCCCAGGGACCATGTTTTGGGTTTGTAAACCAGCACCTGCTTTCTTAATGCAAGTTACATTTAAAAAAAAAAATCTTCCTGACTTCTTTGACACACACAAGCATTTATAAAAAGTGGGACTTGACCAACTTCCAGATCCTTCTCTCCTCCTCTGTGAATATTTTCTTCCATCCTCAGTTTGCAAGAGCTCCTGTCTAAATCTTCAGCATGGTAATCAATAAACATGTCTGTCTGGGGCACAAGTGAGCTGTGCCCTCTGTGAATTGATGAATCCAGACTGGAGAGCACAGCATATTTACTCGATGAAGCTTTCAATTAAAAACCAACCAGAGAACACAAGATGAAATCAAACATGAGAGAAATAAGAAATCTTTCAGAAATAAGCAAATATTTACCATGCAAAATGGGCCATATGACAATTAAATGAACATCTAAATGCAGAAAAGTGCTCCAGAGGCAAATGAATTTAAAAGAAAAGCACCTATAGTGGGGGGGGGGCGTGTTAATATAAATGGAAATTTTTATTTGATCCAAGACATATTCTGGGTATTTTGTTTACTTACATTTTAAATATATTTAAGTCCAGGTCTAGTTCAAACTGGTTTCCTGGATTCTTAAAAAAAAAAAAAAAGAAGAAGAAGAAAGAACAGATTTTATTTCTGTTGAAGGAAAAGTACTTATATACAGAGTTTATTCATAAATTTAACAAATTAATACACTTAGTTTCAGGGTTATGAGTTTTATCCACAGTTTCATTTAAGGTCCACTTCTACGAAAGCTTTAAACTTAGAAATTACGGCCACATATCGTGCATGTTTCACTTCTCAGCCTAACATTTGCCTCACACAATGGCTGCACCCCAATTTATAGTAAATAATAGGTCATTTTTATTTCTCTACATAAAAGTCCCACGCCTTCTGTTGCCATAATATTGTATTTACGCCTTGCAATTATGATACATAACACTGGGACTGATCTCTCTTACCCACAAACTATTTGTGACACACAAAGGTAGGAGGTAACAGTTAACTTATTTCTTTACAAAAATCCTTACTTCAATGTGTTCTGAGTTGTACCCCTGGAAGTACAGTGTCACCTATTGGTAATTTTTTAAATGCTTGTGACAGATACATAACTTTACTCCTTAATTTCCTAGTTAGGGTCAACACACCTGACACAAAGAATCTCACCATTACATTATAACAAAGATATATAACCACATTTATCTGATTCTTTTTTGCTTTCCTCTTAAATTTTAAGGTATTGCCAGTCAGGAGCCTTTTAAACAGTGAAACAATAATATGACACAAAATCCTAAGGTCTAGAAAAATACTCTTTAAAGCAGAATTTCTCTGCACGTCTCTTAGGACATATGTCAGAGTGCTTTTCTTTCAGGATCCTGGATCAGTCCTCCCCTTTTAGGGCATCTGTCTTGTTCACATGCTCCTTGTTTTTCAAGGAAAGGCACAGTTGGTGCATCATTGCTTCGCTGCACTCACATACAGCATTGAGATGGTAGCAGTAAAACAAGCAGAAGGGAGCAATCCTTCAGCAACAGTCCTTTGTGGAGTAAAAACTGATCAAACCCAACTCTGCCAAAGC